CAAGACGCCCAAGAAGGCCCCAAGACGGCCCGGCCCCACAGAAGCCACAAGAGCGCTCCAAGAGGACCCTAACGAGGGGCAAACGAAGAGAGAATCATTGATGCTCCTTTTGTTGTTCTATGGTGTTCGCGTTCTCGCGGTTTCAGGCTTCCGACGCTCCAAGATGGCCCTAAAGGCCCCCAAGACCGCCCCAAGACGGCCCTAGAGGCTCCCAAGAATGCCCCAAGGACCAAGACGGTCCCCCAAGAGGGGACCAAGAGGGGGAACACGAACGACCAATTCGAGCCTTCCGCCCAAGAGGCCCCCAGGAGGCCCCCAGGAGGCCCCGAAAGCGCTCACGAGGCTCCCTTGAGGCCCCCTGGAGACCCAAAAACAGGCTCCAAAAGAGACACCAAGGGGCCCCCAACCAGCCCCCAAGATGCCCCAAGAGGCCACGAACGCGCAAGCAAACGCCTGCGATGGCACAATACGGGCCGGCGGAATGATCGAAGCGATTGAATCCGCCGGCCCCCTTGTGGGGCCACCAGGCTGTAGGACGAAGGTTTGCTGTTCCCTGAGCCAGTTCCAGTTTACAGTTTCCATTGTTACAATTATGTTTTTGTTGCTGCTTACTGTTCCTTGTTGATGGACCGCGCGAGGGCGAGAATTAACCTACCTACCACGCCCGAATCGGGTGCTCTGAATTCCTGAGGGGGGGCGAAATTGACACCCCTCACGCAGATCGGCGGGGTCAGGGTCCAAACACAACATGGATTGGCCACAATTCTCAAATTCGGGGGCACCCCTCGCGCAGATCGGCGGGGTCAGGGTCCATAAACACAAAGGATTTGCCACATCTCTCCAATTCGGCGGCACCCCTCACACGATCGGCGGGGTCAGGGTCCAGAAACACAACGAATTTGCTACATTTCCATAAATTCGGCGGCACCCCTCACGCAGATCGGCGGGGTCAGGGTCCAAAAACACTAAAGATTTACAACATGTTTCACATTCGGCGACGCCCCTCACGCAGATCGGCGGGGTCAGGGTCCAAAAACATAAAAGATTTGCCACATTTCTCAAATTCGCGGCACCCCTCGCGCATATCGGCGGGGTCAGGCTCCAAACACACAAAGGATTTGCTGCATTTCCAAAATTCGGCGGCACCCCTCACGCAGATCGCCTGGGTCAGGCTCCAGAACACACAAGGGGTTTGCCGTATGTCTTGAATTTCGGTGGCCCCCCTCACGCAGATCGGCGGGGTCAGGGTCCAACAACATAAAGGATTTGCAACATTTCTCAAGTTCGGCGACACCCCTACGCAGATCGCCGGGGTCAGGGTCCAAAAACAAATTGCATTGGTTGCATTTCCCACCAAAAACACCACGGATTTGCCGTATGTCTAAAATTTCGGTGGCCCCCCTCACGCAGATCGGCGGGGTCAGGGTCCAAAAACATACAGGACCTGCTACATTTCCAAAATTCGGCGGCACCTCTCACGCAGATCGCCGGGGTCAGGGTCCAAAAACATTAAGGATTTGCTGCATTTCTCCACTCCGGCGACACCCCTCACGCAGATCGCCGGGGTCAGGGTCCAAAAACACAAAAGATTCACTTCATTTCTGAAATCCGGCGGCACCCCTCACGCAGATCGGCGGGGTCAGGGTCCAAGAGCCTACAAGATTTGGCACATTTCTCCACTCCGGCGACACCCCTCACGCAGATCGGCGGGGTCAGGATCCCAAAACAACATGGATTTGCTACATTTCTACACTCCGGCGACACCCCTCACGCAGATCGCCGGGGTCAGGGTCCAGAAACACAAGGGGTTTGCATTATGTCTAAAATTTAGGTGGCCCCCCTCACGCAGATCGGCGGGATGAGGGTCCAAAAATATGATGGATCTGCTTCACTTGCAAAATTCGGCGGCACCCCTCACGCAGATCGCCGGGGTCAGGGTCCAAAAACATAAAGGATGTGCCATGTTTCTCAAATTCGGCGACACCCCTTACGCAGATCGGCGGGGTCAGGATCCGAAAACATATGGATTTGCCACATCTCTCCAATCCGGCGACACCCCTCACGCAGATCGGCGGGGTCAGGGTCCAAGAACATAAAGGATTTGCAGCACTTCTCAAGTTCGGCGGCACCCCTCACGCAGATCGCCGGGGTCAGGGTCCAAAAACAACATGGATTTGCTACATTTCTCCACTCCGGCGACACCCCTCACGCAGATCGCCGGGGTCAGGGTCTAAAAACATAAAGGATTTGCCGTATGTCTAGAATTGAAGTGGCCTCCCTCACGCAGATCGGCGGGGTCAGGGTCCAAAAACAATATGGATTTGCCATGTTTCTCAAATTTGGCGGCACCCCTCGCGCATATCGGCGAGGTCGGGGTCCAAAAACATAAAGGACTTGCCACGTTTCTCAAATTCGGCGGCACCCCTCACGCAGATCGCCGGGGTCAGGGTCCAAAAGCACAAAGGATTTGCTTAATTTCTTGAATCCGGCGGCACCCCTCACGCAGATCGCCGGAGTGAGGGTCCAAAAACATAAAGGATGTGCAACATTTCTCAAATTCGGCGGCACCCCTCGCGCAGATCGGCGGGGTCAGGATTCCAAAAAACTAAGGATTTGCTACATTTCTCAAATCCGGTGGCACCCCTCACACAGCTCGCTGGGGTCAGGGATGCAAAAACACGGCGGAGTTACCACATTTCTCATATTCGGCGGCACCCCTCACGCAGATCGGCGGGGTCAGGGTCCAAAAACAACATATGGATTTACCGCATTTCCCACCAAAAACACAAGGGATTTGCCACATTTCTGAAATTCGGCGGCACCCCTCGCGCAGATCGGCGATGTCAGGGTCCAAAAACAAAGCGGGTTTGCTGCATTTCCAAAATTGGGCGGCACCCTTCACGCAGATCGGCGGGGTCAGGGTCCAAAAACAAAGCGGATTTACCATGTTTCTCAAATTCGGCGACACCCCTCACGCAGATCGGCGGGGTGAGGGTCCAAAAACAATATGAATTTGCCACGTCTCTCCAATTCGGCGGCACCCCTCGCGCAGATCGGCGGGGTCAGGATCCAAAAACGCAAGGGATTTGCTACATTTCCAAAATCAGGCGACACCCCTCACACAGATCGCCGGGGCCAGGGTGAAAAAAAAAATAAAGGATTTGCTACATTTCTCAAATTCGGCGGCACCCCTCACGCATATCGGCGGGGTCAGGGTCCAAAAACACAAAGGATTTGCTTCATGTCTTAAATCATGCGGCACCCCCCACGCAGATCGCCGGGGTCAGGGTCCAGAAGCACAAGGCATTTGCCATATGTCTCGATTTTCGGTGGCCCCCCTCACGCAGATCGCCGGGGTCAGGGTGCAAAAACACTAAGGGTTTGTTACATGTCTGAAATTCGGTGGCACTCCTCATGTAGATCAGCGGGGTCAGGGTCGAAAAACGCATGGGATTTGCTACATATCTTGAAATTCGGTGGCGCCCCTCACGCAGATCGGCGGGGTCAGGGTCAAAACAACACATGGGATTTGCAAGATTTCAATACTTCGTAGGAAAGCTTTTTGCACAGCATACGCGAGCAAGCTCGAAATACAACACCGAATTCAACAAAATCACCAGAATCTCAGTTCATCTTGCCGATTACTCACCGTTTTCGCGTGAAGTCCCGACGCTGCTTCACGGCGGCGCCAAGGCCTCATGCTTTCGCTCTTGCGTTGCCCATTATCCGAGAGAGGGGGCCAGCGGCAGGGGGCGAAGCCATTACGGATAACAAGCGCAACGAACACATTCGATTATTGAAGTAGGAAGGCGCTAAAAATAGATTGAGATCAGGGAATCTAGAAAGACCTACTTTCAACGACCGGCGTGTACTTGTAGCAGCTGGGTTGGCTACGTTCCTGGATGAATTTCCAAGACGTCTCAGAAATGCCGTCAGAAAAGCAAATCGCTTCTGGACGGTAGACTGCAATGGACCGAGTCGGACGGCAACACGGGCTCAGAGGCGGCGCAGATGCATGGAACCCTCCACTCTTTGCACGCACACACGCACACACAACACACATCAACGCAGGAAGGAGTGGAAGAGCAGGCACGAAAGAAAGATCAGAGAAGCGATGGGGCTGGAGTGTCTCCGTCTTTGCATGTATTTGGCGATTTCGGGACTCCGGACGCTTCTGAGGGCCTTCAAGGGCCTCTGCGGATCTCCGGACGCTTCTGGGGACTCCTAGCGTTGGGGACTCCTAGACACCTCGGTGAAAAAGGAACATGTGTGCTGCAAACGCGCACCAACGATGACGATGACTGTGTACACCCTCGCGTCCCGTGTGGTTAAGAGTCCCGTGGGCATACACTGTGAGATCCGAGAGAATTCTGAAGCGCGCGTCAACGGCAATATTGATGCTTCACAGCGTACTGCTACAAAGCACAATTGCAAGACGGCTTCTGGACGGTTTGAATGTGGGACTCTTAATCGCAGGAAGCCTCAATCACGATCCAATTACGACTATCAAGGAACGCCCTCGGTCGCAGAACCAGCGCAGTGTGGGAGCTTGAGCTCCCGAGCAGTACAGCTGTGAACAATGAAGAATCGTCTGGCAAAAAGCAAAACGTGCCCGGGCTCCCCTATATACCGTCGTGGATGGCGGTGCGCGGAATGAGAGACTTCACGCAAGCGTGGACGCAGTGGCTCCTAAACCCTCCTCCTCCTCCTCCTCCTCCTCCCCCTCCTCCTCGCCCCCCGCCTTCCTCCTCCTCCTCCTCCTCCTCTTCCTCCTCCTCCTCCTCCTCCTCCTCCTCCTCATCCTCCATTTTCACTCGTCCTGCCAATTCCTCCTCCGACCCTCTACCAACTACTTCCTACCTCCTCCTCCTCCTCCTCCTCCTCCTCCTCCTCCTCCTCCACCTCCACCTCCACCTCCACCTCCTCCTCCTCCTCCTCCTCCTCCTCCTCCTCCTCCTCCTCCTCTCGAGCACCGCAGCGGACTCCGCGGGCGAAGCCACAACTGCACGTCCACGCAAATCCAGGCCGCGTTCACCACGATCACCACGAGCGTGCCCTGCCCGAGCGATCCCCCCCCCCACCAGCGCGCGTCTCGCCCCCGAAGCAGCCCGCCCCCGCCTCCCTGCCTCTGGCCGTCCCGTCTCGTGGGACCCACGCCCGACGGGGGCCCGCGCCAGGCACTGCTCCTCCTCCTCCTCCCCCTCCCCCCCCCCTCCTCCTCCTCCTCCTCCTCCTCCTCCTCCTCCTCTCCTCCTCCTCCTCGTCCTCGTCCTCGTCCTCGTCCTCGTCCTCGTCCTCGTCCTCGTCCTCGTCCTCGTCCTCCTCGTCCTCCTCCTCCTCCTCCTCCTCCTCCTCCTCCTTCTCCTCCCCGTGCCATTTCTGTTCTATACACCTCGGGGGGCGCATGGCCTGGGGACGCACGGGGCGCCACTAAGGTTGTGGGACATCCAGTTCCGATGAGCACCCCGGGCGAGCCTCCCGTGGAGTGAACAGAGAGGCGACAGTGGCATGGGGGCCTTCGTGCAGGCCCCCACTGCACCGCCGCTGGGTCATTTTGAGACCCTCCGCAAGGTGCGAGCTGGGATGCCCGTGCCTGTCGATGCAGGCGCGGCGCCCCGCACCAACAAGGCGCGATAAAGGTTAATTGGTCGGGCAAGCGGGTGGCGTCAAGTCAGCTCTGGCTAGCGCGCCACTGGTTGTTTTTGGCCCGCTTCAGTGGCCGTTCGACGGCCCCACTGCCACTGCGAGCGCGGCAACCCTCGACTTCGTCGGTCTCATGTAGGCGCCGGGCCGCCTTGGGCGCCCACCCCTGTCGATGGGCAGGAGTGGGCACCCGTTGTTCGTGCCGTATTCTGGAATGCCCAGCCTTGTCGATGGACAGGCATGGGCATCCCCTCCCTCGTACATGATGGTTATTTGGTATACGCGCGCTATGGCCCGCTCCCAGGGCCGCGCAGCGGCCATACTGCTGCTGTGGGTGCGCCAACCTTCGCCATTGACGATGTCAGGAAGGCGCCGTTTTGATCTGGATGCCCCCCCTGTCGACGGACAGGAGTTAGCATCTAAACTCGGGCCTAACGCTAGGATGTCCATCCCTGTCGGTGGACAGGCATGGGCACTCTACCCTCGCAGTGAAGTCTTGCTTGGCATACAAGAACTGTGACCCGCACCCACGGCCGTGGGACGGCCTTTCGCGGTCGCGGGCAAGGCAGCCTTAGACATAGAGGGTGGCCAGTTGGCGTCGCATTGGGTTGGATTCCCATCCCTGACAGTGGGCAGGCATGGGCATCCGCCCATCGAGCCTCGAACTCGGATGCCCATCCCTGTCGATGGACAGGCATGGGCACCCCACTCTCGCAACGAGGGCGCTGCTAGGCATATGAAAGCCACGGCTCGCGTAATGGCCGCAAAAAGAACATGTTGCCATTGCGAGCGCGGCAGCCTCCGGCACCGAGGGTGTCAAATACGCGCCGTTCCGGTCTGGATGCCCACCCCTGTCGATGGACAGGTTTTGGAATCCACACATCGTGCCTCGAGCTAGGATGCCCATCCCTATCGATGGACAGGTATGGTCATGGTCATCCCTCCCCCGAAATGGGGGCCTGCTTGGCGCACGAAAACTGTGGTCCGCTTAGACGGCCGCGGGGCGGCCAGATTGCCGTTGCGGGCGCGGCAGTCTCCGACGTCGACGGCGTCAGGCAGGCGACGGTTTCGTTTGGATACAGTCGGGCCCACCAACGGGCACGGGCGAGCCCAACAGGCGCAGGCTTAAGACCGCTTTGGCGGCACCATCCCCAGCCTCAACAAACCTTCTCCTTCCTCTCCAACCCAGCCCCCCCCATGGACGAGTGAGGAGGAAAAGGAGTCTCACATGCCGCGTTCTGACAGAGCGAGGTTTTGGCCTCGGTGCCAAAACCTGACAGGGGGGGGGATGGTGGAAGGCTGCGCAAATCCTAGGAGGTGCTCGGCGGGGCCTGCGTCGCAAGACGGCGCCTGCAGGGCTCTCGACCCCATCCCCAGGAGCGGAGGAGCCTTCCAACCCCTCCCTCCTCCCCATCCAAGCCCCAATGGACGTGGTGGAGGAGAAAGAGGAGTCTCACATGGCGCGTCCTGGCAGAGCGAGGTTTTGGCCTCGGTGCCAAGACCTGACAGGGGGGGTGATGTTTGAAGGCTGTGCAAGTCCCAACGGTGCTCGGCTGGGCGCGGGTCGCAAGACGGTGCCTGCGCACTGTCTGTCATGGCTCTCGACCCCATCCCCAGGAACTGAAGAGCCTTCCAACCCCTCACTCCTCCCCAGCACCTTCTTGAGAGCCATTCAGGATTTGGCTTGGTCACAGGCGAGGGCGCAGCCCATGGCCGCCGACCGCAGTGGACTGGGGGAGGGACAGGCACAGCGGCGGGGTCATGGGCCCTTGTCGCGGATGGTGCGAAACCCGATTGAGTGGGCGCGGACATTGTCCGCGGGCGCTAGGTTGGGCACGCGCCAAAAAACCGGTGCCGCGTGCTTCGGCCGCGGGCAAGAGCTCAAACTCGGGTCTCGCGGAGTTGCACTGGACCGGCTGCAGCCACGATTCCAGGCGTTAGCATCGGCGGGGGTCAAGGGCCCGTGGCGGGGGTGTTTATTGCTTGGGCGTGGGCCCATTCGGCATTAGCGGACCCACGAACGTGGCCACTGGACACTTTTGTGTTATTGTGGTTCAGCGGCGAGGGTTCTGACCCTGGCCGCATGCATAGCGGGCACTGGTGAGGGCTTGGTCTCTCGAAGGCAAGGTCGCCGTGGGAAGGTCATGGCTCGCGCAATGTCCACGAACAAAACCATGCTACCAGAGCGACCGCTGCAGCCTTTGCCACTGGCGGTGTCAAATGGGATCTGAATGCCAACCCCTGTCGATGGACAGGTGTTGGTCTCCACCCCAAGGCAAAAAGCTAGGCTGGCTGCCCATCCCTGTCGATGGACAGGCATGGGCATCCCCTGTCTTCACCTACGGCACTGACGGTCCCAAATAGCCTAAAGCTAAGATGTCCATCCCTGTCGATGGACAGGTATGGGCATCCCCCACCCAGCAATGGGGGGGCGTTTGGCACGTGAAAAAACTTGAGCCCGATTAGGCGACCGTGGGAAGGCCAGATTGTCGTTGCGGGCGCGGCATTCACCACCCATGGCGCCCTGAAGAAGGGCCAGCGAGGGCCCGAGCGGGTCCCAAAAGCAGCCCAAAAAGGTTATGCAAAGCATGAATAGGTTAGCCCCTGCTCATAGGAAGGGGGCATTGCTTGAGTTTCGGCTAATTCTGAGGACCCGGATGGCACAGTGAGTGGCTATGCGAAGCATGAGTAGGTTAGCCCCTGTTCAGAGGGGGGAAATGTGTTATCTGCCCTCTTTGCTGGGAAATCTCCTCGGTCTTTACGACAATCCAGCTTGAACCAATAGGGGCCTTCAGGTTCTATCCGCCCTGACTGCACCATCCCATCGTGCGCTGCGTTCATGCTTGGCTGTCGCACTCGAGGGAGGGCAAGCTTTGCTGGACAAAGCCGGCGTTGTCTTGTGGGACGCCCTCCAGACAGATTTTCGCGTTGTCCCAAAGTGGTCCTGACCTTGAGTGGTACAAGGTTGGCTATACCAGGTCACTGGCTTCACCCATGGGGTTAAGCCGCCCCGAAGCCATATCACTTCAAGTCAAGTCCTCCTCCTCCTCATCCTCCTCCTCCTCCACCTCCTCCTCCTCCTCCCCCTCCCCCTCCCCCTCTTCCTTCTCACCCCTTCCTCCTCCTCCTCCTCTTCCTCCTCCTCCTCCTCCTCCTGCTCCTCCTCCTCATCCTCCTTCTGCGCCTCTCCATCCTCCTCCTCCTCCTCCTCCTCCTCCTCCTCCTCCTCCTCCTCGTCCACGTCCAGAACTGCAGCGTGAGATCCCAGAACCGAGCACGCCAAAACCAAAAACTAAGCGGGTTCGTCTGGCTCAGGCCAAGACTTAAACCCAGGGGGGAGCATACATGCAGCAACTCCTCCTCCTCCCCCTCCCCCTCCCTCCTCCCCCTCCTCCCCCTCCTCCACCTCCTCCACAATTATCCAAATGAGCACTACTCTCCTCCTTCCCCTGATGACGGGTTGGGAGTGTTCGCCCCCCCCCCCCCGTACTGTTTTTTTACACACAGGATTCCCCGGAGTTGGGTTTTCGCCTGCATTTTTTTCAGAATGCTGCCTTCGCTGAGGCGCCGGCCTCATGTTCGGGCCCCGCCCGTTCCGAATCGTGCTCCCGCTGCAGCGCTGGCCTCATTTCCGTGCTTCCGCTCGATCCGAATCGTGCTCCCGCTGCAGCGCTGGCCTCATTTCCGCGCTCCCGCTCGTTCCGAATCGTGCTCCCCTTGCAGCGCTGGCGTCATTTCCCGTGCCATGCCACGGCATGCAATGCAATGCCAGGTTGCGTTCCGCTGCGCGATCCCATTCCTTCAGCTGAATCTGCGACATGCAGTGCTTAAGTGCCACGTCGTGCTATGCCATGCTACGCTTTGATCTTCAACGCCATGCCATGCAATGTTATGTTCGGGGCCACTGTGCGATGCCATGCTTTGCGTTGCAAAGCTTTGTGATGCAATTCTTCACTACGCCACGCCACGCCATGCTGTGACATACTACGCTTTGCGGTGCTCTTCTACGCCATGTCATGCCGTGCTCTATAATGCATCGCGTAACCTTTCGTGATCATTGCCCTGCTCGACATCCGACTGTGCGAGTAGAGAGGGGATCTACGCCATGGTAAGGGATGGGAGGGAGGGGTAGGATGTCAGATATGACGCGAGCGCACCTAGCTTGCCCTCCTCCCCCTCCTCCCCCTCCTCCTCCTCCTCCCACTCCTCCCCCTCCTCCCCTCCTCCCCCTCCTCCCCCTCCTCCCCCTCCTCCTCCTCCTCCGCCTCCTCCTCCTCCTCCTCTCCTCCTCCCTCCGCCTCCTCCTCCTCCGCCTCCTCCTCCTCCTTCTCTTCTCCTCCTCCCCGTCTTCCTCCTCCTCCTCCTCCCTCCTCCCCTCCCCCTCCCCCTCCCCCCCCCTCCCCCTCCCCCTTCCCCTCCCCCTCCCCCTCCCCCTCCCCCTCCCCCTCCTTCCTCCTCCTCCTCTCCTCCTCCGCCGCCTCCTCCTCCTCCGCCTTCGCCTCCGCCCGCCTCCGCCTCCTCCTCCTCCTCCTCCTCCTCCTCCTCCTCCTCTTCCTCTTCCCCCTCTCCCCCTCCTCCTCCTCCTCCTCCTCCTCCGCTCTCCTCCTCCTCCTCGTCCTCGTCCTCGTCCTCCTCCTCCTCCTCCTCCTCCCCGTTCCTCCTCCTCCTCCTCCTCCTCCTCCTCCTCCTCCTCCTCCTCCTCCTCCTCCTCCCCCCCCCGTTTCTCCTCCTCCTCCTCCTCCTCCTCTCTCCCCCGTTTCCTCCTCCTCCTCCTCCTCCTCCTCCTCCTCCTCCTCCTCCTCCTCCTCCCCCCTTCCCCGTCTGGGGGCCCCGCGAGGATAAGACAGAAAGGGGGGGATAGCAAAGGGGGGCTTACAGCGAATCGGCTCACTCACGCAGCTCGTTTCTCTGGCGCCTCCCGGCGCCCAAGGCGCCCATGCATGAAGAGGCCCTGGAACACACAAGTAAATATACATAAATAACAAGAGTCCCCATATGTTCAGATATTTTCTGGGGTCTCGTCGTCCCCCCCACACTTCCCACATGCTCCCATACTTCCCTGTCTGTTTGTTTTTCTCTCCTCCTGAATGCGAGAAACCACGGAGCACGGCGGCGGGGCAGAAACTATCTGCATGCAGCACACTTCGTCGACACTCTCTCGACCTGTCCTCCCCTCCTCCTCCGACCCGATGCGCTGGCCCCGCCGTCGCCCCAAGCCCGGGCGCCCAGTCCTGCTGGAACCAGGGGCTCCCCGCGATGCTCGCCCAGACGCTGCCGCTCCGGTGCCTCGCCTGCGTCCTTGGCGCGCGCCGGCCGCCGTGTGTGCACGGGGAGGCTGGGGAGGCAGGAGAAGCAGACGAAGGGGCCCAGGGACACACACATGAACACACACACACACACAACGAACAGGATTCCCCATAGTTTCCCATAGTTTTAAGGCTTTTGCCTTGCCCCCCCCACTTCCAACAGTTTCCCATCTCTTCCTGGGAGTCGACGATTAATTGTGTCTGTGTGTTTTTTCCCCTCCTGAGCAGAGTCAGTCAATATCGACTCGGGGAATCGGAGCGACCCGAAGCGTGCGTTGGCTCGGACCGCATTGGCACGGGGTCGGATCCGATCGGCTGCGCCAAGATGCGCAACAACGCGATGCAAACATCAAGCCACGTCGGAGTCGAATCATGTCAGGCTGGCCAGAATCGGTATCGAACAGGATCGATCGGATCGAGATCGGAATTCGAATCGGAGTCGAAGTCTGGGGCATTCGGCTCGAGTGACCAAGTGATATGCCATATCATCTCCTGGCGCGCTTGCCAACTAATCCACTGTGCCGCGCAGCGCTAGATGAAGTGCACGCAGGTCGCTAAGAGTCCTCGACCACCAAAATAATTGGATATCGCAAGTAATACGGGGCCGAGACACCATTCACATAATCTCCCAATGTCTCGCGTGCCTTTTGGGGTGTACCGCATGAAATTTGGGGCTTCCTGCGTGACTTCCTCTGAAGCTACAATCCCTAAAGACGGCCCAAGAATACCACCCGGGCTGGATCCAGCTCTAGTGGTATCTCACCTAATCTCGATCCAGCTCGAGAGATCCTACCCAGGCTTGGTCCAGCTAGAATAGTCCTCTCAGGGATGGATCCAGCCAGCTCTATTGAATCCCACTGAGGCCCCTTCCAGCATCAGTGCAACATCCTACGAGGACTGCATCCAACTCGAGTAGAATACTATTAGTTCCCTATCCAAATCTTGTAAAACCCTGCAGAGGATGGATCCAGCCCCACTAGAAGCCTATTGTTAAGGCCCACTGCAGCTTCACAAGAATCCTACCAAGGCTCGGTCCAGCTTTGATATCATCCCACTAGGGCTCGATAGTCGTCCCCGTCGTCGTCGTCGTCGTCGCTGCCCGACGGCGCCAACGCCTGCGCCGGCGCACGCCGTCGTCGGTTGCCACTGGGGAGCGGCCCCTCCTAGATCGAACCGACCCCCTCTGCCCACTTGATAATCAAGGGGGGGCGGGGGGCTCCCCCCAAATTATCGAACGTCCCCACCCCTTGAAGGGAGGGGGGGGCGGCTTGGCCCCGGCCCCCCTGCAGTTCAGCCCCCCCCCCCCCGGTTCGACCACCCGCCCCCTTCCCAGCGTCCACCGAACGCGCTCTCTCCTCGAGTGGCACCCGTGGATCTCCAAAGAGGCCTCTAGGATCGCCCGCACGACGGCCCAGGATGCCACCAGGCAGCCTCCACCAGGCCCAGGAGGCCCCCAGCCTCGAAACAGCCCAGGATGCCCCTGAGAGGCCCCAGAGCAACACTCTGCGATGTCGAGCCGTTCCTTCAACGACAGCCTCCGAGACCGCCAGCAAGCCCACCCAGAGACCCCCAAAAGCCGTCTCCCAGGCCCCACATGTGCTCCCAATAGGCTCCAAGGGACCGCGTAAACACCTCTCACAACCCAGACACGCGACGTCCTGATTTTTTCAATACGACGTCCCCAGAAGTCCAGACCCTTTCCCCGGGGCCGGTTTTTCATCATGAGTCGTTTTTTTTACGGTCCCGGGGCCCGGCCAGCCCGGCGAGGCCCCCAAGGGCCGAAAATAGTGAAAAACCTCCGTCCTATATTTCTTACGACGCAATTGCGTCTGCGAGGCCTCCAAGGAGACCCCGAAACGAGCCTCTACGAGCCCGCGACCTTCCTGGAGCTTTCCTCCGGATGCTCCTTCAGTGTCGGCGGAGCCGGCCGTAAGACCTCTCCAAGTTGTCTCCAGTGTGTGACGACGCGGCGGCAGGGGCCACGGTGTGGGGGGGCAAGAAAGAGTATCCTCCTCCTCGTCCTCCTCCTCCTCCTCCTCCTCCTGAGCCAGGGAGAGAGAGAAGGACGACGACGGGCGGGGAGAAGACGACGAGGAGGCTGCGGGAGAGGGGGGGCAGGACGAACAGGAGGGGGGGGGGGGGAAGCGAGGACGGGGCGAGCAGGCGGCGGGAGGGTGGACGGCGAGGGGACGACGACGACGAGCACGAGCATAGCCGGCGGCGAGAAGGCGCCACCGCACGGCGCCCCCGCGCGCGGCTGCTGCGCCGGCGCGGCGGTGCCCGCCGGCTCACTGCGCGGAGCCGCGGAGCGCGGTCTGCGCGAGCGCTGCGCCGCGCGCGGCGCCGGCCTGCACGGAGGATGTCTGCACGAGCGAGTAGTCGGCCCCTGGGGCAGCCGCCGGCGGGCAGGGGCGCCGCGGGCGGGGGCCGAGCCCTGACCTTCCAGGAGGGTTAAACAATAGCACGCGACTTAAAAACCCATCCCGGAGCTGTTCTGCGTCTTGGTTCTAGGCTGTTTCGTCTCGTGTTTTAAGCTTTTAGGTCTCCAGTGCTAAAATATAGCTCTCTGGAAGGTCCGGGAGAAGGAGGAAGAGGAGGAAGAGGAGGAGGAGGAGGAGCAGGAGGAGGAGGAGGAGGAGGAGGAGGAGGAGGAGGAGAAGGGGGAGGGGGAGGAGGAGGGGGGGGGGGTCCAGGAGGGGGAGGTCCGCCAGTCGCGGCCCGAGGCCGTGCGCGGCCCCAAGGGGGGCAGGGCCGCGGGAGGCGCCGAGAAGCAGGAGGATGCGCCGCGGAACCTGGGGAGCTACCGTGGCCCCCGCCGCGAGATCTAGGTGGGGCATGCCCCCCTACTGACTACCTACCAGACCACCCCAACCCAACCCGAAGACCCGAATTTCGGGTAGGGGGGGGGTAAGGGTTCCACACGTGTTTTTCCTCTGTTTCCCGCCCCCCCCCCCCCCAACTGGAAATCGAGGGTAAATCTGAGCCTTCGGGTTGGGTTGGGGTGGTTTGGTGGGTGGTGACCTACAGGCGGATGTTGGGCGAGTGATAAACAAGAGACAATACATGCTCAAACAGCATCAAACACAGTCGAAACATCGTCCCCGTACTATGTTTTGGCTATTTTGGAGAATTCCTCCTGTAGAGAGGGACACGCTCGACCTCAAAATAGGAGGAAGCGCCACGAAACCTGGGAAGCGGCCTGGCCCCCGCCGCTTGACCCACTCCACCTCTTGGCCGCTCCCGACGGAGGCCTTTTTCTCGGGGAGTCTACCGACCGGGGTCAATGCCAGCCTGGGCCAGACAGGCTTTGCAGAATCCGGCCAGATCCTGCAGCATCCTGCGTCCATGCAGCCCTGGCCTTGCGGGCTCTGGCGCTCTGGCCCACCCCCGTCTCAAGGCCTCCGACTTTTTAGGAGGGCGGGGAGAAGCCGGGCAGGGGTCCCATGGGTGTCGCTCGCGGCCCCTCGAGTCGGCGGCGAGCGACATGGGGAAAGAAGAAGGAGAAGGCCTTCTCACAGAGTTCGGAAATCCCCCGGCCCCCCGAGAAGTTCTGCCCGCCTCCCCCTCGGAGACGGAACAGCCTCTCGGCGGGCGCGGGGGCTGCTGAGAAGCCCCGCCTCCCGAGAGGAAGGCCTCCTCCCTCTCGGCTCCCCCCCTCGCTCGCCGCCGATGGACGCCTCCTCGGCCCGGAGGCTGGGACTCCGCGGCGGGGGCGGGAGGGCGCCCGAGCACGCGGCGGCGGCGGCGGCGGAGGCGGGCGAGAGCGGCGGCGGCGGCGGCGGCGGCGCGAGCGCCGCCCGGCCCGCCCGCCCGAGCCCGCGCCTGAGAGGACGGCCTTGGCACTCTTCAGGGAGTCCACCTCGCGGGGGCGGGGCGGGGAGCAGAGTTAGGTCGGGCATGCCCCCCTACAGGAGGGTTTCGGACGTCCAAAAATGCACCAGAGTTCCCAAACATCCTCCCCAGACTACTATCTGACCATTTTTGCATTTCCCCCTGTAGAGGGACAGGCCCGACTTAAGAGTAGAGGGCGGAAAATCCACCCTCGTATCATCACCCCTGTGTCTGCATGTTTTTCCCCTCCTGAGAAACATCGGTGTACATATAAGCTTTCAGAGCTCCGCACGGGCCAGGCGGGACCCCAGAATGGCAGTACACACTGACCCGTTCAGACTTTCCCGCAGTGGTGGCCCCGAGAGCCCTCCAGTGACGACCCCCGAGGCGCCCCGAACAGGCCCCAAGAGGCTTCTGACAGGCACCCAGAATAGAGAGCAGAACATCCACCCTCAGAACCCTCACCCCGACACGCGGAGCCGTGCAGTAAACGCACCCAAAGAAGGAATCGAACAGGGCAGGGCTATGTAGGCAACGTTCAGGGCCGTTCAATAAATGCCAGTTATCGGGTCCGTGTGTAGGGGGCCACATGCGAACCCTACCCCTACCCCCCACGAAGTGAACCCCACCCTCCCCCTCAGAAATCGTGGGGGGTAGGGGTAGGGTTTGCATGTGGCCCCCTAGGGTGGCTTTTTCACCACTTGAAGGAGGGGCGGAGGTGGGCACGACGGCCCAACACAGAAGACGAAGCCAGGACGAGGACAAATCCAGGCGATGGTGAATCGAGCATCCCTGGGATGTGGCGGCCCTGGAGGATGTCTCGGGCGCCGCGGCCTTCTCAGAGCGTCCTGGAACGCTCCGAGAGCGCTCCAAAACGCTCTGGAACGGATCTATCCTGATCCTGGCCCCGTTCGAAGACACCCCCCACATGGCCACGAGGGCCCCGAGACGGCCTCAAGGGGCCCAAGGGCCACAGGAACCCGATGCAGACCCAACACGCCCCAAATGAGCTTCACGAGAGCTCCTGGAGACCAGAAGACGAAAGGTGTCAGCTCTCCAAAGCCTGGGGACACGAGGCGTCACACCTGACGGCCTCCCATGCCCCTGGAACAATCGCCACCCAGACCATTGGGCTGGCAGGGCAACTGGACCTCTGTGACTACCCCAAGACAACGCAAACACATCAACGATGACGAACCAGCAACACACACCCATACCCATAGGGGGGTCGGAGAGGGCCATGGGTGCGTGTCGTCGGACGGGGGTCCCCGCTCGAACGGGAGCGTTCCCCAGGGTCCGACAACCCGCACCCATACCCACAGCCAGTCCTCCTCTCAACGACCCCCCTGTGGGTATGGGTGTGTGTGTTGCTCGTTCGTCACATGAGGGTGCGCCGTCCCAGGTGGCAAAGTCGGCCAACGCCAACTATGAAGGGGCCCTGGGACACACACACATACATGCACACACATAAAACTATGCCCCATCTATTTTCCCATAGGTCCTGGGTTTCGGTCCTCCCACCCACTTCCCATCTTTTCCCATATGTTCTGGGAAATCGCCGATCAGTTGTGTCTGTGTGTGTGTTTTCCCCCTCCTGCAACTGCCCGCCGCCGGGGCGCTCGGCGCCTCGATCGAGCACCGCCGCGGCGGCGGCGAGAAAGAAGCAGGCGGGCCGAGCGGTATGTGATGGCGGCGGCGGCGGGGACGACGGGGAGGCACCCCACGGGCGAAGCGCCCCCTGGCATCGCACGGCCTCTCGCTGGGCATCGCTCGGACGTCCGTTCCCTGTTTTTTTTTTTTCGGTGTCGTGCGTGGCTTTTCCGCCGGATGATCCAGGATGCTCCTCGATGGTCCTCGCCGGAGGAGGAATGCACACGTCCGAGGGATGCCGAGCTCGGAGAGGAGGCGCGCGCCCCGCCGTGTTACCCTCGCGCCCCAGGCGGGGAGGCTGTCGCGAGCGAGCTGGGAGCAGCTGGTCGAGGGCGTCCAGGAGGGGGGCGTCCAAGAGGGGGTGGGGAGAGGTGTGAAAGTCGTGGCCAGCGGCACGTGCGGCCCCAGGGGGGGGGGGGGGCAGGGACGCGATGGCATGAGAAGAGGCGCCACGAAAGCTGAGGCAACACCATGGCCCGCGCCATGAGACCCCCCCCCCTAGCCGTCACCCCCCCTCTTGGCCGCCCCCGAGCTGAGGGGAGCAGAACCCATGTCGAAGACACGCCGCCGCGGCAGACCCATTCGCGCGGCAGTGCCGAAAACACACGGGGCCTTCGGTGCACACAAGCGGAAGGAGCCCGCGCGCCGGCAGGCTCTCCCAGCGGCAGCGTGCCGTCGGCACTCTCCCTCGTTGTCTTGCCGGGGAGAGGGGGGAAAAAACACCGAAGGGGCCCTGGGGCACAACAAGCTACACAGCCACAACTCCCAGGAGCCCGCCCATGTTCTCACATCTTCTGGATGCTCGTCTCCCCCCCCCCCACGCTCCAGCATCTTCCTCCTGTGCCTGGGAATGGACGATGGATTCTAGACGCTTCGCGTATCCCCACCAGCCCGTCCAGAAACGACGCCCAGGCGAGTAGAGGGTCGTCCTGAGGGGCTTTTCGGCGTCTTGGGTGCCTCGGGGGGGCCTCTGTGGGCCGTTCGGGATCCTCTTTGGGGCCTCCTGGGGGCCTCTTGGGGCCTCTTGGGGCCATCTTGGGGCCTTTGGGGGCCTCCTGGGCGCTTCTTGGGGCCTCCTGGGCGCTTCTTGGGTGCCTCTGGGGGGTCTCTTGGGGCCTCTTGGGGGTCTCTTGGGGGCCTCCTGGGGGCCTCCTGGGGGGCCTCTTGGGGCCGAGATTGGGAGGCTTGGGCTCCTCTTGGACCCGTCTGGGCGCCCTTGAAGGCCCTGCTGGGGCGCTCCTGGGGCAATTTTGGAGGACATCGGCCAAGGAAGTGGGGTTCCCTAATTACAGCCCCCCCCCCCAGGAGCTCCACAAATCGCTTCCTGGACCCCTCTTGGATCGCTCTTGGAGCGCTCGTGGCCGCTCTTGGAGCCATCCTGAGTCTCTCTTGGGCCCCTCTTGGAGCTATCTTGAGCCATCTTGGAGCCATCTTGACGCGTCGGATGTGCATCGCAAGCGAAAAAGTGAGAACACCAAACACATTGATTTTCCCTAGGGTGTTGAAGCAGTTTGGCCTCTTGGATGCATCCTAATGATGCTCTTGTGGGCACTTGGAACCGTCTTGGGGAGTTCTTGGAGCGTCTTGGAACATCATGGGGACCATCTTGAAGCATCTTGCGCTATCTTGAGCCATCTTGGAGGTCATCTTGAGCTTCCTGAGGCCCTCTTGGAGCCGTGTTGGGCCGTCTTGGACGCTCTAACTACCCGCGGCCCCCCCTGTCCAGGTCAGTGGGGAGGGGGTAGGGGGAGGGGTAAACCCCTCCCCGAAGGGGAAGAAGGAGGGGTGGAAGAGGAAACGCTCTAAACCACCGACGCCCAGAGGGCTGGTGGGATTGTGTCTGCGTGGTTTTCCCCTCCTGAGAGCCATCGGTGTACATAGAAGCTTTCAGAGCTCCGCACGGGCCAGGCGGGCCCCCAGAATGGCAGTACGAACTGACCCGTTCAGACTTTCCCGCCGTGGTGGCCGACGACCCCCGAGGCGCCCCGAACAGGCCCCAAGAGGCGTCCGACAGGCACCCAAAATAGAGAGCAGAACATCCACCCTCATAACACTCACCCCGACACGCGGAGCCGTTTCGTAAACGCACGAATCGAACAGGGCAGGGCTGTGCAATAAGCGCCCAGGGCCGTTCAGTACACGCCAGGGTCCGGGTGGTTTCCCTCCCTTGACAGAAGACCCCAAGGGCCCAAGGGGCCCCCCAGAGGCCCCGAGGGCTCTCCGAGGGGCCCCTGAAAGGCATCCCCAGAGGCCCCCACATGAATTCCCGAGGCTCCTGACTCACAGGCCAAGCAGGGGGGCAGCGACTCTTGACGAGTTCACTGTTCTGGGGGTCGGCGGGATGGCGTCATAGAAAAGGAAACAAACGCCCGTCATACACATCAACTTGTGGCGCTCCGCGCAGACTTCTTTGATCTGCGCGGTGTTCCTAAGAAGCCCGCCCTTCCCTACCCCCCTTCTGCGCGTGTCGGATCTCCTACGGGAACAGGACGACGAGGAACTGGGGGGGGAAGCAACACAAACATTGCCACCAACCTCGGACATCGACTGACCCAGGTCGATCCAGATCCGGGTCAGCCAGGCTGTGCGACATACTGCAAGATCCTGCATGATCCTGCAGGATCCTGCACCCGAGCCCGGGTCAAAGCAACCCTGGCTCTGCAGGATCCTGCGAGATCTGGCGCTCTGACTGACCCCGTTTGCATTGGCCTCCGTCTTTTGAGACCCGACCGCCACCGCCCCTCCGCAGGCGCCCCCGACGCTGCAGGCCATGCGCCCAGGACGGGTGGTGAGCAAGCGCGCGCGCGCGGGCCAGGAGGGAGAACCGCGGGCGGCGCGGCGCGACCTCGCCCGCCCGCGCCGACTTGCGCACCTCGAAGTTGGCGAGGAGCCAGTCGCAATCCATGTGGAGGTCCTCGCGCTCGGCGGCGAGCGAGGGGGGGAGTTGAGAAGGAAAGGGACTTCTCAGGAGGTGGTGGGGCTCCTCAGAAACCCTCTGGCTTTCTGAAAAGTGTTCTGTGCCTCCAGGGACGGTTTAGAAAAAAACCCGGAAATCTCAGAAGGCGGGGGGACTTCCGAGCCTGCTGAGAAGGCCCGACTCTTCTCGTTTTTCCCCCGGGTTCGCCGCCGACACGCGCAGCGGTCGCACCCGAAAATCTGAAGCCACGACCTCCACGCTAGGAACCTCACGTGCGGCGGGCAACTTTGTTGATACCGCGCTGAACGGTCGGTCTCAACGGGTATCCGCTCTCCGACAGCAAAACTCTCTCTCAAAATTGGCCTGGCTGAAATCGCAATTAAGCGACGAGACGGAACGCGGGCCGCCAACAGGGCACACGGGCGTGAAGCAGAGGGTGCTCGCGCGCACCCTTTATGCGGGAAACTTGCGCGCGAATGTCGGCGCCGTCGACCCCGTTCTCTTTGGTCGCTCAGTTGCGCGACGATCCAAAAAAAGTCCTACGCGACATGGCGCGGCGAGCTTACGCCGAGGCTCGCGCGGGCCTCCCGCGTGGCCCGCCTCAGTGGAGACGATGGCGCCTACGCGCCACCTTACGCGGGCAGCTCACGCGCCCATGCCGGTGAGGACGACAGCGTTTTGTTTTGCGTCGCTCCGCTGGCCTTCCGCTCGGAAAACCCCGCGCTGGCGTCGCCGACGAGGCGACTCGAAGACGCGCCTCCAAGAGGTCGGCGCCGGTGAGAAAACACCCCGCTGCGCCCGCGCAGGCTCATACTGTGAGCGCTCCTCCAAGAGAAGCTACACTTACGTCGGGCGTGTCCCCCTACAGGGGGATTTTGGGCGAAAAGAAACCAAAAAACATCTCAAACCATGCCCCAAAAATAATCAAAAAATAGCCCCCAGACTATTTTTAACATATTTTTGAACATTCCCCCTGTAGAGGGACAGGCCCGACTTAATCATACTGTGAGCGTTCCTCCAGGAAAGGCTACACGAGGGATCGGAGGAGACAACGAAGCCCATTGCCAGCGTTTTCTTATTTGGCGTGTCGACCTTGGGCCCGAGGGGGGGGGGGTTCCGCACCTCTGCTCACGGCGACTGTTTGCAGCAGTGCGTCCGATGGAGAACTAACCATGACGAAGCCAACGTTCTTGTTTATTGCTGGCGGCGCTCACTACGGGGGCGGCGCGGGGGCGGCGGGTTCTCAAGATGGCGGAGGGCTTTCTTGGGGGAACCACGCCCAGGCCTCGCAGATGAAGGGCAATGATTAGGTCGTGCCTGTCCCCCTACAGGGGGATTTTGGACGAAAATTAGAAGATACCCCAAAAATGTTCAAACAATGCACAAAAATGCTAATTTGTTTTGACTATTGTTTGACTATGTTTGTTGACTACGTTTGACTATGTTTGGATATGTTTGACTATTTTGGATATTCCCCCTGTAGGGGGACAGGCCCGACTTAGGGCAACGATCGGAAGGGGACTGGCTTGCAGGGGGAAACGTGAACCCGGACTCGGCGATACACATCGCCTTCAGATCGGCGATATAGGCCCAAAATTGTGAGAGTCCGCGCGCTCCTGGGCATGCTGGGGCAGATGGGCCCCTATCGTAGTCGGGCGTGTCCCTCTACAGGGGGAGAATTCAAAAATAGGGAAAAATAGTCTGGGGACTAGTTTTGGAATCTGTTTGGGCATCTGTTGATTTCTTTGTTTGAATATTTTTTGTTTTTCGTCCAAAATCCCCCTGCAGGGGGACAGGCCCGACGTAACCCTATCTCGGCGGTGGACAAACCCTCCTTTAGAGGACCTCCCCTTAATGAAAACGGACTGGGACCGAAACCGACGGACCGGAACCCGCAAACATGACGGCCGCGACGCCCTCTACGCGAAACGAAAACGGCCAATTCCTTAATCGACGTGTCACTGTTAGGAGGTCTGTCCACCCCCGATACTATCGGCGATCCACGGGCGATTGGGGGTCGAGAGGCGCCCCCACCCTGCCCGACCCCCCCCCCCCCCTACCGTCGCCCCTTCTCGGAGGCGGCGCGCCCTCCTCAAATTCAAGGGGCCCCAGGACACGCAAATAAATACACACAAATAGAACGATTCCCCATATGTTCCCATATTTTCTGTTTTTTTCTGTCTTCCCCCCCACTTCCCATATTTTCCCATATTTTCCTGGGGGATCGAGGATTCATTGTGTCTGTGTGTTTTTTCCTCTCCTGAGATTGGGTGTCCCAAAACCGTATGGTAACAGACCCGGCGGTGACCTCGAAATCAGCAAAGACCTCGCCGCACGGTCCGTCACCACACGGTTTTGGGACCCTGGAGGCTCCAATCGCCCGAGGCATCCTCGGAGAACGACCCAAGTCCCAAAACCGTGCGGTGACCCCGAATCCCCACCGACCCACCACACGGTGTGATCACGACCCCGTTTGGGAGCCCCCGAGGTTGAGAGAAGAATCTGTTGTTTCTCCCGGGCATGGTCACGCGCGGCAGCGTGCTCGCGACGAGGGCTTCACCGATAAGCTGACGGCTGTCGCGAGCCACCGGAACCAGAACTGCTGCTCCGCGCATCTGCTTTCGTGCAGGCCAGGAACGGAACACGAGGCTCGAGGAACGTCGCCGGTCGCGCGAGCGCCGCCCCGCCTTGAAAACGAGATGCGCAGGCGGCGACCCCAGAAAACCGCCCAGCGGGCGTTTCGCACAAAACGGCCACGCGCGCCGCGGCCTCGGACGTCCCGCGGCGGCGCCAGCCCCGACAGATCAATGGGGTCGGGCGAAAGGGGGGGGTAGCAAAGGGGGGGATTGAGAATCAGCTCACGTAGCTGATTTTCCCGGCGCCTCCCGGCGTTGGGAGGCGCCCATGTATCGAGGAATGGGCCCCTCGGCGGGGCCGAATCCAGCTGCATGCAGCAAATTTCGTAACCCCCCCTTTCCCAATCCCCCCCTTTCGAATCAACGGCCCAGGCCCCCCGTGCCCGAGATTCCCAGCAGCGTCTCGCCCACGGTTCGCTCGCCGCCCGCGCCGCAGTCTGGCATCTTCGCCAGGTCGCAGCAGACCTCTACACGGCAGCCGCCTATGCGGTCGCAGATGTTCTTGCAGACGCCCCCCCTTGTCCGCGCAGGGCCCTCCGCCCTTCGCCCTCAGGGCGCCGTTCAGGAAGCCGCCGACGTCAGAGCCGGACAGGCGACGCGACGGAAGGCTGCGTGTCAGGTTCTGGGCGAGTTCCGCGGGCGCGGCCGGGCGGTCAGAGCCTCCCGCGGCGAGGGTGATCATCGCCAGGGCGGCGACCTTTACAAGCGCTGTGGTCGCGCTCGGCACTGCCAGGCTGTGTTTTTTGCAGCCCTTTTCTGGGGCGGCGCGCGCGTGCCCTGCGGTTGTCGCGGTTCGTGTCAACAACTTTCAGCCAAAATGGCTACGGGTCGAGAGTAGGTATTTTCGGACTCCCAGATCCCGATTTGCTTTAGTACTTCAGACATCGATGTATGTTTGCTATGTGTGTCGTTCTTTTGTGGGCGGGCCAGAACTCAATCCACTGCATCTGCTTCCCTGATTCATGATTCGACCTATTTCTTCCGACAGGTAATTTAACCAGCCTGGAATATCTCCCTATCCCTATGCTGGGCATTTCCTCATCACGATGTCAATCTTAGGGATTCCCTAATTTTTTGCGGGCGAATCCCTGAGTTTGTCATCGCTTTTTGGCGTGTCAATATCTTAGGGGTAGGGATAAGTTCGAGGCTGGTAGGTAATGAGAGTCCACGATCCGGATGCCAGGGTGGACTTGAGAAGCTGCCAGACCCTGGGAAGGGCCAGCCGTGCCCCCAGGACGGAGCGGCCGCAACGGCCACTGACCCCCGCCGCGGTGGGCGCCACACCGCAGCAGCTGGGCGCCCCGAGGTGGGCCCCGAGGCTGAAAGGGGCCCCGGGGCACACACGTAAACAGACACACCTCCCGGGGGCTCCCTGTATCCTCTTTTGATCTGTTTGGGGCGTGCGTCTTCCCCCACACACGTCCCAGATGTTCCGCCTTATCCTGGGAGTCGACGCTTGACTTGTGTCTGTGCTTTTACCCCTCCTGATTCCACCTTAAACGGTCGGCCCTTTTCTGGGGCGGCGCGCTTGTGCCCTGTACTTGCCGCGGCTCGTGTCAAAACCCTTCAGCCAAAATGGCGAGACGGGTTGAAAGTAGGTATTCCTGTAAACTCCCAGAGCCCAATCTGCTTTAACCCTTCATACTTCAGACATCGGTAAGATGTTTCTATGTGTTGTTAATCTGTGGGACGGGCCAGAACCCAATCTACTTAATCCGCCTTCCTGATTCGTGTTTCTCCCATATTTTTTCCGACCGGCCATGAGAACGCACGATCAGGATGCAAGGGCAACCTTGGAACACCGCTAACCCTGGGAAAGACCAACCACTGGGAAACCAACAAGTGCCGATACTGCTATCCCCGGGCCTCTCCCGGGGTGCGTTCTGACCAGGATTTCGAAGCGCATCCAGCGGTGGCGACGAGGGCCTCCACGGAGGCCCAAACAGGGAGAACGAGGGAAGGGTGGAGGTATCACGTTATATCTTCTGTGGGGGACATACATTTACACATAGTTCACATGTCCTGTTGTTCCCTAATGATATAGTAAAGAAATAATGCCAACTAGCCTGTCGCTTCCTTAGGAATAACGATGTCTCAATAATACTCAAACAAAGTATCTATGAACGGCACCTTTTCCTTCTGAATAATGGTAGTACGAGGTACGGGTATGAAACTAGTAACATGGGCAAAGAAATATATACATAGATATATATACATATATATATAGGTATGGGAAACCATATGAACCATATGGGCATGGGTATGGGTAATAGGACTAAATGAAGTATGAACATCGTAATCTGAGGTGTGGGTACTTGTTCCTTCCCTGGCGTGCCCCCCTAGGACGACGGACCCCCAGGG